GAGAGAGCAGGGTTGGAGGGAGGTAATAGGAAAGGGAGGGTGGATGGAGAAGAAAGAGTAAAGGTGGGACCAGAGGAGAGGAAGAAGGGGCAGGTGGTAGGGCTGACTCGGTGAGAGAAGACATGATAGCAGAATTTGTAGGGAACCTAGGTTGCAGGTTGAAAGATCTGAATGTGCTGAAAGAAAACTTACAGAAGAGGAAGGAGAATATCAGAATAAAGAAGAGGAGATTGAGTGAAGTAAAGAGATTGAAGAGAGATGTAGAAGGTGATAAGAGGCTCGGGGTAAATGGAGACAGGAGGAAAGGGGAAAGTAGTGGTAAGTGGCAAGGGGTTCACCAAGAAGCGAAATGAAGATTCTTAGTTGGAATGTGAGGGGAATTGGGAGTGCAAGGAAGAGGGCAACAATAAAAGAGGTAATAAGACGGTGTGACCCAGACATTGTGCTGCTACAAGAGTCTAAGAGAATGTAGTTTAATGATAAATGGGCAAGAAGTGTATGGAAAGCCAGGGGAATTAGCTGGGTGGTTGCTCCCTCGTGGGGTGCTTCCGGGGGGATTGTAACAATGTGGAATAAGGATGTGGTAGAAGGTCTGGAGGAGTTGATTGGAAAGTACTCGGTGTCTTTGAAGTTTAAGCAGCAAGAGGATGACTATACATGGGTGCTCAYAAATGTTTACGGACCGAATGACTATAGAGAGAGAGAGGAGTTGTGAGAGGAATTGGCTGATGTTAGAGGGTTGTGGGATGGGCCKTGGTGCATGGGTGGGGATTTCAATGTGATCAGATTCTCGGAGGAGTCCAATAAGGTTAACYARAGGGTGACAAAAAGCATGRGGAAGTTTAATAGTTTTGTGGATGCCTTTGAGCTTAAAGAGATTCCCCTAGCCCATAAGACGTTTACATGGTCAAACCATCAATCTAGACCCATTTTCTCTAAACTGGATAGATTCCTGTTCTCTTTGGATTGTGAAGAACATTGGGGAACCTTGGCTTCTAGAGCTCTCCCAAGGGTGACCTCAGATCACTGGCCCATGGTATTATGTAAGGAGGAAAAAAGGTGTAGAGGTCCTACCCCCTTTAGATTTGAAAATATGTGGTTATTTCATCTAGGGTTTACTAACAAAGTGAGGGAATTGTGGCATGACTGTAACCCACTGGTGGAATGGGAGGGGATGAGATTTCATAAGAAACTACAATTCTTGAAAGCAAGAATCAAGGAGTGGAACTTGATGGAGTTTGGGAGGATAGAAGAAAGAAAGGGAGATTTGATGGATAAGATTGAAAGCCTTGACTCTAGAGAAGAAAGGGGAGAATTTGGAGAGGAAGACAATGATCTCAGGAGAGATTTGAGAAGACAACTAGATGATTGTCTGTACAAGGAGGAAATTAGTTGGAGGCAAAAATCTCGATGTAAGTGGTTGCAAGAGGGAGACAGAAACACTAGGTATTTCCATTCTCTAGYAGATGGYAGGAGAAKGAAGAACTTTATCTCCAAATTGGTAGTAGATGGAGTCGAGTTAGTACAACAAGAGGAGATTTCCAGGACCTATGTGGAGCACTTCAAATCTATTCTAAGAAGGCCTGTGAGTAGAAGGGTGTGGGTAGAAGGTTTGGACTGGCCAGATGTAGGGGTGGAGAACAGGAGAAGGCTGGAAAGAAGCTTTACTCTAGAAGATATCAAGGAGGCTGTGTTTTCTATGGATAGAACAAAAGCTCCAAGGCCGGATGGGTTCACAATGGCTTTTTATCAGGACTGTTGGGATATCTTGAAAGATGATCTCTTGCGGGTGTTTGAGTTTTTCAAGAGAAGAATTGTCAATCCGGGTGTGAACTCTACATTTATAGCTTTAATTCCAAAAAAGAAAGATGCATCCAACCCGAAGGATTTTAGGCCAATTAGCCTGGTTAATAGCTTGTATAAGATCATTGCAAAAGTGTTGTCTATGAGGTTGAAGAAGGTATTGACCGATATCATTGCACACTATCAAGGAGCCTTTGTGAGTGGAAGACAAATTACTGATCAGATTTTAATTGCTAATGAGAGTGTGGAGAATTTTAAGAGGGATAAGAAGAAGGGAGTGGTTTGTAAGTTGGAATTGGAAAATGCTTATGACTTGGTGGACTAGGATTTCTTAAGGAGAGTTTTGACTAAATTTGGGTTTGGGGCTAGATGGTGCAAGTGGATCATGGGTTGTGTCAGGAGTTGTCATTATTCAATACTAGTGAATGGGACAGTGGTAGATTTCTTTCCAGCCAGTAGGGGTATAAGACAAGGAGACCCCCTGTCTCCTTTCTTGTTCATTCTAATTGCGGAGGTTCTGGGGAAACTGATTCACAAAGCAGATGCTAGGGGGCTCATTAGAGGCTGGAGAGTTGGGAGTGTGGAAACCCCCCTCACTCACCTATAGTTTGCTGATGAACGATTCTATTTTGTGAAGGCGATAATGTGAGCTTGATCAGGAACTTGAAGTTGGTGATACAACTGTTTGAGCAAATGTCTAACTTGAAGGTTAACCTTGGGAAAAGTTGTATAGTGGGGGTGAACCTGGAGGAGGGAGAGCTCAGGGGGAGTGAAGTTTCGGGGTGGCCTTTGAACTACTTAGGGTTGCCATTAGGTGATAATCCCATGCGAGAAAGCTTTTGGAACCCGGTGGTGGAAATGTTTGAAAAAAGACTAGTATCTTGGAAAAAGAACTACCTCTCTCTCGGTGGGAGAATTACACTAATTAAGGCCACGCTTGCTAACTTATCCATCTTTTTCCTATCGGTGTTTAAAATCCCAATGAAGGTCGCTAACAGATTAGAGAAGTTTATGAGAGATTTCYTRTGGGAGCCAGGAGAGGAGAAGAGGGATCATAGAGTTAGCTGGGAGATAGTGTGTAGGAGTAAGTCTTGTGGTGG